AGTTTTTTTTCTTCTGTAATTCAACGGCACGTTGTCAATTATTCCTTCCTCGTATTATTAATATGATGATTATTATTATTAAAAGGGCTATTATAGTCGCTCATTTAAGCCATTAGTAATCGCACGTCAAATTGAAAGGCATTTGTGTGTGGTTAGTAAGATACATGTATAAAATGTATGCAGTACATGGATAATTGTGCGTGCATCTATTAATCATTTAGAGTCTAATATCCCATACTATTCCAGTTTATTATTGCAATTAATAATCCTATTACATTATCATTATATTAATTATTCATTGTATTTTAAATTCTTTGGTGTGTGTGTTTGTGTGTGTTAAAGAATGGGATCCAAGAAGAAGAACTGGGAATTATACCCTTTATGTCTTCGAGAAATGGCTCGAGTTTGTAAACCTGGTACAGGAAAAGCTGTACTGCTGACCCAAGATAAAAAATGTTTCTTGAAGGTATGGCTACTATGAGTTCTTAATCATAGTTCATGATGTGGTTTATTAAAAGCATTTTGGAATGAAAATACAATGATTATTAAGTAGTTTTCATGGGACTGGATCTTTTTTTTTTTTTTAAGTTTAAGCGTATTTTGAATCGCATATAAGTCCTTGTTGTGTGTAATGCAGAAAGTCCATTTCTCCTCATAATGTCCTACTTAATACTTTAACCATCTTTTGCAGGCATTGTCGCAGATGGAGGGGCTGTGGCGGAAATCGCACACTGTTTGGGTGAATGTGGGGGGACTGCATGCTGGCGTTTTTGTTCTCAAAAGAACGGCAGTAGTTTTTGGCACCACTTCTGAAGATGTAATGGAGCCTCATACAGCAACAGGATCACAAAAGGAGAATATGAAGGACGCTAGTCAGTGAGAAGCCTGACAGACAATTAGCAAATGTCTTTGTGTTCCTCCTTTTTTCCTGAAGTTAACATGCCAGAGTCTTTTCTGTCTTTTTTTTTTTTTTTGATTAGTTCACTTAAGTCATAATCTTGGCCTATCCTTATTCCAAGAAAATAAAATGTTCAAATTCTAACGTTTAGTTTGAGGTGTGATTTATTTCTTTGTGAAAAGACAATTACTAAGTGAAACTGCAAATCATTTGTTCCCTCTGCATTGGACCTGCCATATTTGTCTTTATTGCTTTAAATGCAAAGTGATGTTTTACATAATACATTTCTATCTTAGCATAATTGGTTTTAGTAGGACTGTGCACGGTGGTGTGATTTAAACAGATAGTCAATGGTAAGTGAAATAAGTAATAAGTCTAAGCAATAGAACCATAAAGACACTTTATTAATGATAACGTGAAAGCTTTTTCAGATCAAGACAATTTATTCCCATCCTTTGAAAAACATCAAATGACAAAAGGATATCACTGCGAAACACTTCTACCAATTCAAATGCACTTGATTAATTGTTCAAGTGAAATGTACTTTTATCAAACTAAGTGTGGTTGGCCAGGGCAAGGATGCATTTGAATGTTATTTCATTTAGTCAATGACTTGTGAAGCATCATAAATGCCACATCTAGTGGGTTGTTTTAGCACCTGCTTTACTAAATAATTATGCATTGTTCTGCATAGGCCTATTTGATGTGTTTTCTCTTTAGAGAATGTTTCACTAAAAGACTGCACTGTCACAATCAAATGTAGCTGTGAGAAATGATCCCCATATGTAATGTGCATAACGCATGTAAAACATTCAGGTATAATTGATATTATAATCAGTTTTAAACCTATGATTACATTCAAGCCTTGCTTTTTCTCTTTGCTGAGAAAAAGCTCTTCATCTGGCTTTCCACTGTTCTGCATGCATGCAGGATTTCATGCTATTTCTGTGGCAAGAATGACAAAGATTTGTGTAGCAGAAACCTAATGCACCTAACTGAGTTAGCCTAACCAAGAGAGATTATATGTCAAAGTATCTTAAATGAATGTCTTGCAGTAAACTGGCTAGCAGTAATGCACATTAGCATGTTAAGTATGCTTACTTTAATTACTATACAGTATGTAACATATGGTGCAATGATCACTTCACTGTCATTTGCAATCACTGGTTTTGGAGTAAAGGAAAAAAAATACTTAAACCAGTCTAAACTGGTTTGCTTGTCTCAGTTGGTTTTCCAGACTGGTCAGGCTAGAAGACCAGATTAAACCAGCTAAAACCAGCAACCCAGTTTAGGCTAGGGTTTTCCAGCAGGGTTCTTCACCTACACCCGTCCAAGCCAAGCTCCATTTAAATCCTCAACAGAAACTCTTCTAAATTCTAAAACTCAATAGAACATCAAACACTAACATGTCCCCTTTTTTCATCTTGACCAAAATACATAAACTAACACTTAATGCTGTTTTCAGTTAATGCCAATTAGATCATTTTATCCCAATGGATAACGTTTATTTTCATTGCACTCAGCGAAATAACTTAATAAATTGTTAGCTCCTTTTAATTAAATAAATGGAACCAAAAACTGTTCATCTTCAAGGAGAGTGAGTTCAATTTATATTTGTTTTCCCTTTTTTTCTTATTTTTCTGAATTTAATCTTATTGAGGATCTTGAAAAATGTGTTTCTTCTTCTTCTTGAAATTTTATTGGTGGTTGACAAACAACAAAATGGTGTATTTCCGCCACCAACTGGTATGGAGTGTGAATCAAAAAGTGACTTACTTCCTTCCCCGTTTTTTTTTTGTAATTTTTTTAAAATTAAATTCTCTCCCACAAATTAGTTATTTTAAGGAACTGAAGAATAAAACTATAGCATTCATTCCTTGAGTTATTTTGTAAAATATATCTCGGTGTAAATTGCATTTTTTTCTCAATTTTGCATTAGAATCCTTCTTTCAGTCTCATATTTCTGACAGTACAATATAACATGTTCCACTGTTGAAAAATGTGTTTGGTATGACGCAAGCCTTATACCGGCCTATCAGGATCGGGCACTCATATGTGAAGGGCGGAGCTTTCATGAGCTGCTGCTACAGGGACACCAAGATGGAAATCCAGGGGCTTACTGACACCAAAAACACCCAGTACCAACATGGCGTCCCGCTCCACACGACATTCTCTCAGCAGACCACAGCTTCTGGGATTCATGCGAGAACACGTCTGACTGAAAATGCGATCTCGGGTCTTTCGGGATCGCTGGGCTTAGAAAGTGACGCCAACAACAACCGGGCCAGATCCTCGCCGCTTCGAGTTGCGGAAAATGGCAGCGGCTGCGCTCTGCCTCTTCAAAACAACCATGATAAGAAATATGATGCTCAGTCCGCAGATGCAGAACTCGGTGACGTGAATGCGTACAAACAAAAGGTGTTTAATGAATTAGACTTGCTGCCTTCCGAGTTTGAGAGGGCAGATGAACATGACAACGATCTGCAAATGGCGCTTCCCCTTCTGGACACCGACTGCTGTGAACAAAGACACACGACAGAGAGGATTCTCAGCAACACCTCCACCTCTTCGAACAAGAGCCCAGAGGAACTATACGTGGTTTTTAACATAGTACATAAAGAAGATGAACGTAAGGAACAACAAACGAGCTTTCAATACAGAGCTGACGAGAATGGATCGTCAACACCCAAGTCAAAGATTCTCAGTTCCCCAGTAGATTCAGATGAAAGCTTCAACAGAACATCCAAATCGGGACATTTGTCAAGCCACAGTAATTTAAATTCCAGATCCGAGACAACAGACCAAAATGTTAGAAATGAGATCTGTCTTGTGGCAGAGAATAGAGATCCAATATTGTCAGACGACTATGCTGGGAGCAGTCAAACGCCAAAGGTCTCAACTGTAGAAATGCTCTGCAATAATTTAGTTGACCATTCAACAGAAGAATTGATGCAGTGTGTCACGAAAAATAATAGCCCTGCATTTGGTCCAGAGAACAGGGTTGCAACTGAAATGGCTGAAATGAATATCATGGATTATGCTAATCAAGAGTCCAGCAGTAATGGGGACTGTGGTCCTGATGGGACTCCAATGCATGTGCACGAAACGTTCTCTGGGACCATCATGATTAACAATCAGAGTATCATTGTGACTATTGAAAATGGAATATTGACCCTAGCCACCCCACCAGAGGGCTATGCTTACAAGGAGGATGGTATGATGAGCTTAAAAGAACATTTGGGAATGAAAGACAATGAAGATTTTGTGCTGCTCAATTATGATGGGGGAAGTAAATCCATTGGGAAAATTAGCAATGTTACCTCGAGTCTACAAGATGAGCCAAAAGCCAGATTTGCTGGCAGTGATTCAGAGCTGACTCTAGCTGATGACTGTTCGCTATCAGAAATGGGTGTTACTCTGGATTCTTACTCATCAATTAAGCAAGAAGAAGGAACCGTTTGTGCTGTAGAAGATGATAGTAGTATTTGCCAAAATTCGAAAAGCAAATCAATTACTTGTGAAGAACAACAGCCAATAAACGTATTAACTTTGTCGGGTTTGACGAAGAAAGGTTCAGTAGTAAAGTATAGATGTCCCCAACCAGGCTGTTCCAGCACCTTTGATACCCGGCAAAATCTCAAAATCCACTTGGTTCTACACACAGAGGACCAGCGTCCCTTCAAGTGCACAGTGGAGGGCTGTGATTGGTCCTTCACAACGTCATACAAACTGAAACGCCACCTGCAGTCTCATGACAAAGTGCGGCCTTATAAATGTGAGTGGGAAAACTGTGGTCGCCGTTTCACCACAGTCTACAATCTAAAAGCTCATGTTAAAGCACATGACCAGGAAAATGCATTTATCTGTGAAGTATGCAGTGAGAGGTTTCGCACCGCCACAAGACTCACGAATCATCAAAGAACACACTTTGAACCAGAGAGACCACATAAGTGTGAGTTCCCAGGTGAGTTAATTTGATATCTTAACCAATTTCCAAGCCAAAGTTGACAATATTGCAGATAGTAATACCAACCTGATAGTGGTGTTTCTGTGCATCCTCAGGATGTGAGAAGACCTTCATCACTTTCAGCGCCCTGTTCTCCCACAACAGAACCCACTTTAGAGAAATGGCTCAGTTCACCTGCACCTATCCTGGCTGTGACAAGCGATATGACAAGGCCTGTCGGCTCAAAATACACCTCCGTAGTCACACAGGTGAACAAATGAGCGGATACTTGGAATAAAGCAATATTACTTCAGTTTTCTAACATTGCCCTCTCATTTTTTCCTCCCAGGTGAAAGACCGTTTGTTTGTGATTCTGATTCCTGCGGTTGGACCTTCACAAGCATGTCCAAATTACTCCGGCACAAACGGTAAGAAGCAGAGGTTTGACCCTCTTATACCCACACATGCATGTGCGTTCACTGTGTATCCTATTACTCCATTCCTACAAGTTTTTTGTAGTTATTATGAATAATATTGTTTAATGAAAATGCTTTTACAAGTTTCATCATTATTAATAAATAGTAAATAGGCTTAAAAATAATCACACTTTAAAATACTGAAACTTATAGACCCTTCAATGCATGGTGCCCACCACAATATAGGTACAGTAACATTGTGCACTGAATATTTTACATTTTGTCATTTCAAGTGACAAAATGACATGAACAGCACTCTGTTCATATAGCCAGCAGTGCTTGGGGCGACCCGAGTTCAAGTCCCATCTTGTGGTCCTTTCCTTGTCCCTTTCTCCTCCCCTATTGCTTCCCGTCTCTTTCTATTGTTCTCTTAAAATAAAGGCAAAAAAGACCAAAAATATAACTTAATTTTAATTTCAGATTACATATGGTTTCAAAGTCATCAACATGCTGCTGAAAGTGATTCATTAGGCGTTGATCTTCATCTACAGGAAGCACGATGATGACAGACGGTTTGCATGTCCAGAGGAAGGCTGCGGGAAATCCTTTACACGGGCTGAGCACCTGAAGGGCCACAGTATCACGCACTTGGGGACCAAGCCATTTGAATGCCCTGTAGAAGGTAGGCATTTAAGTACAAGAACAGACTGCTTTTAATGAGTTGGTGCTTAGGAATGAATGACACTGGATTGGGCGCTGGAGGAGGTGGAGGGGTTTTGCCCCATGCCACATTGCATTTGGATGATGTGCAAACAGTCAACCCAGAAGAGCTGGGAACTCTGGCTATTCCAACTGCATCTTCAGAACAACTCCACACTCTGAGTTCCTGCAATCCCTTGACTGTAGAATCGCCATCTACTCTCACGCCATCTCTTTCTTCATCGCTCTCTCAGTCTCTTTCCTCACTGACATCAGCTCTTCAGCCAGCACTCAGTTCCTCTCTTGTTCCTTCTCTCTCCGCCCCGCTCTCCTCCATGGCTCTGACGGCAACCCCTGTACCGGAATTACTCTCTCCGCAGGCAAAGGCTGACCTGCCAGGCAGTGAGACAGCCGTCGGGCCCTTGTTAAACAGGGTGGAGGTCATGGCTCAGTCAGATGGCAATAAAGGGATGTGTCAGTTTGTGTTCCCCAGCCACAGTGGATCCTACAGTGAAGGCAGTACTGGGGCAGGATCCTTCTCCATGGACATGCCTCTGGTCAACACCGGAATCCTCACAATAGATCCAGCATCAGTCGGCTCAGCCCTTAATGGGGCAAAAACTGTGGATCCTCTCATTTTAGCGGCTGGGCAAGATATGGGCGTACATGTATTCGGGCTGACCTGCCAGGCAGTGAGACAGCCGTCGGGCCCTTGTTAAACAGGGTGGAGGTCATGGCTCAGTCAGATGGCAATAAAGGGATGTGTCAGTTTGTGTTCCCCAGCCACAGTGGATCCTACAGTGGACAGAAAATAACAGAGTTGCCCTCGGTCACGTGCCCCGTTATGGTTAGTAATAAAGAGTTGATCTTGAACTTTCTGAAACTGATAGCTGAAAAATAGAATTTTTATTTGGTTAAATGTTCGTTCTTCAGCAATTTTAAAACAAGGTAACCCAAAAGTTTAAATGTGTTCTGTTGTTCTTCCATTAGGAGAGTAGTGGATCAGCACGCACAGACTACAGGGCCATTCAGCTCGCCAAGAGGAGAAAACGGAAAGGTCCAGGCTCTTCCACATGTGCCTCAGAGACTGGCCAGAGAAAGACTAAAGGATCAAAGGGCACCAGTTCTGCTCCGCCGACTAATTCAGGTGCTCATTTTGGAGAAGGAGCAGCTACAGGAAATAGTGAGCTACCCATCCGGGATCCGGTGGCAGGCGCACAATTTGTACAGATTCAGCTGCTGCAGGTGAGATGATGGGGAAAGAATTTGAAAGCATTCTCACTTCAGTTCAGTACATTGATTTTGAGTGTTTGTTGTAGGATGACCCTGCTGCTGATGGAGACTTGGCTTTCCAGCTGAGTTCACAGACCTCGTGTTCACATTCTCAGCTCACTGTGGATCTACCCGTCAACATCCTACAGGTTCATACAATAACTAAGCCTCATAATCATTGCCTCACTTTGTATCCTGCTTTATTTGTAGTAGAGTGTAGTGGAGTTTTTTTTTTTTTTAAGATTAATTTTTGGCATAATTTACCTTTAATATTTAGATATGACAGTAGTTCGATTGAACATGAAGTGAAGTGGGAAAGAGAGGGGAGCGGAATCAAAAAGGGCCACGAGATGGTATTCAGATACGGGTAACTGGAGGTAGAGGTCTGCATTCCCTGCTGGTTGGCATTTTAACTGCTCGTTGCATAGTATAGTAAATTACATTTAACGGATGTCATTACATGCTGTTGACATGGCTGTTTCCTTGCTGGAGGTTATATATATATATCCTTTATGAGATTGTGTGCCATACAGTTGTCCTGTTGGGTTTTGAAAAATTGGCAGTTGTTACTGTTCTATACAGTATCCTATAAAATAATCTAAATATTATCACTTGTAGGAACCTACAGTCATGACTGAAGATGAAAATGGATCTGATAACTCCCAATTCACTGGGAGCACCATCAACTTACAAGACTTGGAGTGATGGTGGAAACAGCAAGTGCTTCTAAAAGACCATTGATGTCAGGCTGTCTCTCTCATTATCTTTTTCTCAGATGATCTTGTACTTTTTCTCAGTGCCTCCACTGGTTTAATCATGATCTAATTTAAGCAAATCACTACATTCTTGTTTAATACATGAAGTCAGAATAGTACTGTTCCATACAGAAAGCTAATTTGCCCAAAATCAAAGCACATTTAGTTTTCTGTTTAATTTTGATCATGTGACGTGACAAAGTACATATTTCAGTATAATGATTTGTGAGCACACAAAAGATAAATGGCAGTGGACTTCATCATTGATCTGTCTCTTAACCAAAATAAATACTATTGGTCTTTGAAAGTGTAACTGTTTGTCATGAGCGGTTTATATCTAGTCTGATTTGACCTTAACTTGTTTGCCTGATTCACCACTATGAAACAGTTGTTTTGATGCCTATTTTTGTATGGCTTTGTAAAGTGCAGATATAGTTAGGTTAAATGTTTGTGGGAAAAAAGTTCTACTTTTTATAAAATTATGCAGTTGAAATGTATTTATTAGGTTTGGTTTACTTCAGGACAGGTGAATAAAATTTTACATTTAAATCAAACATTTGACTCCAGTTTGTGTCAGCAAATATTTCTTTTGAGTTTCACAAGATTTTGCATGGTCATGATTCATACATTCATTTATATTCATATCCTTTTAAAAAAACAAAATTTAAACCTTGCTAAAAGAAGGAATGAAAATATACTTGATGTTACCTACTATCTACAGAAATAAATTTGTATTTATATTCAAGCAAGTATCAACATGCTCATTTTAACTTAAGAAATACAGGAACTCTTCATTCTCCCGGTCTGTAGCTTCAGTGTTTTTGTTAGACTCACGTTTGCGGACAGGAGGCTGAGAGCGTGGCATCAGCTTCTTGACAGACTAAAAGAAAGCAGAAGACCTGTTCTCACTCCTACTTGTTTGAAAAGCAATATCAGTCATTTAAAGATGTTATAACATAAGAGATCATTGGAGATAGAAGAGCTTGATGTATTATGAAAACATTCTGTTTAATCTTCCCCAGTGAAGAAATCTGTCCGAGTGTTGTCTGACTTGCTCTGATGCCATACCAAAAGTCACACATTATATTTAAAAATACTCGTATAGTACACAGAAAGTTGAGAAGCCACACAGCATTTGACCACTTGATTTACAAGAATGGTTTTCTCAACATTTCAATATTGCATCAACTACTGATCAACACGTTCATTTTTATTTGAACTATCACTCAGTGGGTTATTTAACCGTGTATTACTATGTCTTTGGAAAGCTTTTGTCTTTCAAACACATTAAAATGCAAATTTTTGTCAGCATTATATATACATATAAATATATTGACAGCGTTTTTGTCAGCATTATATAAATATTGACAGCGTTTTGTCAATATATTTGCTTGAAGTACCCCCTGAAATTTTAAGGTAATAAGTTACTAGTTAGGAAACACATTTACATGTTCATGGTTCTCTGAAGCTGGTTAATGGTCACTTTATGGTCACAATTTCAGAAGCTGCTCAACGAGATCGGTCCACTAGTTAGTCAGATTATGCCATCCTATTGCGCAAATTCATGTGATTTTTTGTTGCCTATCGAAGAATTTATTTAGTAAATGTGTATCCATCATAGTTTATGCGCATGTTTTGCTACTCGATAAAAATGTATTCGCCTCAATTGAGCACATACAGTTTTTAGAATTCATTCACATCTTGGTGTTTCCATCCAGCATTTTTTATGCAATATCCCAAAATTAAACATAAAAATAGATGAATGGAAACATATCTAAAGAGGGACTGAAGGATGTGGGAGTAACAAATTTGGACATGACTTGCAACTAAAGTAATTTAAAGGGGTCATATGATGCTGCTAAAAAGAACATTATTTTGTGTATTTGGTGTAATGAAATGTGTTTGTGCAGTTTAAGGTTAAAAAATATTTTCAATATTTTCCACATACTGTACATTATTGTTTCTCCTCTATGCCCCGCCTTTCTGAAACGCGTTGATTTTTACAAAGCTCATCGGTCTGAAAAGCGAGGTGTGCTCTGATTGGCCAGCTATCCAGTGCGTTGTGATTGGTCGAATACCTCAAGCGTGTAACGGAAATGTTGCGCCCCTACCATACTGTGATGATGCCCTGTCCGGCCGGAGCGACGAGACAAAAACATTAAAACCCATTATAAACGAGGCATTTGTTGCATCCAGTGGGGACAATTACGGATTATAATGACTTGTACTGTCTTTTTACGCGTTGCATTGCATCGAGCGGCGTAAACATAAAACCATTTAGTCTTTGCAACTTTACAGATCTTATTTATGCACCAAGAGCTTGTAACACTCCAAAGAGAAAGGAAAAATTGAAATCGCATCATATGACCCCTTTAAAAAAGGTTTTTAAAAATGTTTTTTTTTTTGTGGAAAAATAAATATCCCCTTTAATAGTGACAAACAATTGCAATATGATTTTATGCCAAAGGTAAATTAGACAACATTTATTGCAGTAAAACTTAAGTTTCTTGTCTTTTTTTTTTTACCGTTTTCTTAATCTCAGCCTGAGATCTTTCCAGGGCTTTTTTCTGTCTTTCCTCCTGTTGTTTCATCTGCAGAAATATCTTCTCATCACGCATTCTAAACAGTAAAAAGAAGTTGAGGAACATACTGATACAGATGATTCTGTTGCTGATTTAATGTAGATGTAGATCTGGATCTAGTCACCTCATTCTCCTCTCTTTCTCTTTGGCACGTTCAGCTATACTCATTTGGTCTTTTGGAATCATATCTGCATTTTCCAGAAGCTCCCCCAATTTTTCCTCAATGGCTGTCAGCATCTGCAAAGTTGTCAGGTTTGCCTCAGTTTCCCCCACGCAGCAATGGTACACCTCTTCCACCTTACGGCTCAGTGAGTCAAGCGTCTTGTCCTGAGGAAAAGGTATCAGTACTTGTATACTTGGGTCACTAGATATGTTTTTCACTGACAAGTTACTGTCATATCAAGGCCTCTAACACTAGCTTGCTCTATTCTTTTTCTATTCTATCTGTTTTTATTGATTATATAATAAATAAATAAAACTTGCTACGTGTACTGTGTTAAGCTAACTGAGACTTGTTATAGCACTTGCATATCATTGCTCTTTTGTTGATTTTGATTGCTTCCATTGTCCTCATTTGTAAGTGCTTTGGATAAAAGCGTCTGCTAAATGACTACATTTAATGTAAATGTAATATCAATGCAAAGATTGTAACTAAGCAGCTTGTTTCTAGAAGCAATGAGTAGCACTTATGTTTTAATAGAATACAGAAGAAAAAAACAAAACAAAAAGATTGACAAATCTTTGTCTTTGATACAAAACTCAGCTGTTGGCACAAGGACGAATTGCACTAACTAAAAACTGTATTGCTTTTATAGTTATTGCTGTCACTTAGTTGGATGAACAGCATATTTTAGAAGTTTCTAGAACTTCCTTAAATTTTAATCACAATGCTTTAAACTGTTACGATGACATTGAATTGATTTGCAAATGTCTATAACTGCTAGTGTTTGTCTGTTTTTAAGTTTTTTCAGTTGTTTGTTGAAGTTTAAAGGAGACATATTATGCTCCTTTTTACAGTATGTAATATAAGTCTCTGGTGTCCCCAGAATGTGTCTGTGACGTTTCAGCTCAAAATACCCCACAGATCATTTATTATATCATTTTGAAAATGCTTATTTTGAGTGGAAGCAGAAACACGCTGTTTTTCGTGCCTGTCTCTTTACATGCAAATGAGCTCCTGCTCCCCGCCCCCTTTCCCAGCTTTTGAGAAGGGTCTGGCTGCAGCCTCGCACTTGCACTCTCAGACTTGCATTCTCAGACTTGCATTCTCAGACACTTGCGCTTCCACTAGCGACTTCACTTGCAGGCTTTATTTTTTATTTTGTTCTATTTTTTATTACTTTTTGTTTGAATCTCTCAACATTTTATAACAGTAGCCAGGTGGTGAAGACAAGAAAAAAGAAACGAAATTACAATGTCACTTGCAATCGCCACTTGCACTCTCCG